AGTTGCAGGCATTTGTGGTCTGATTGTCTATTTAATTAAATCTAAGAAAATGTGAGTAATTTAGCACCTATCTGTGTAATTTGTAATCACATGTCACATTTTACACATAAATATGTGAGTGTATTTGTCACAAATTTTATCAGGTTCAAACAGATCTTTAATAATCCATCAGGGTCTTTAATGATCCACATGTGACTTGTGAAGTTTTTGTATATATTTATATATGACATTATTACATATCAAACTCTAAATTGTGTCCAATTGCAGTGAATTTCCTCCAAATGTGTTTGTGATATTTTATACACATAGAATCAAAATGACCATGATCTCAGTAGAAACAACTGTTATAAGTTGCTACTTTATGTGAAGAAAAGCAAATAGTTGTAACAAAATGTCTTTGTCTTTACCACCACAGCCCAAAACCAAACCTTCAACAAAATAGACGGGCAAGTGAAGGTATGTTTATTTGTTTTATGAATAATGCCAACATGAGTATGATCTGATTGCACAACTGACATCACCAATTATAGCTAGATTGACCGTGATAATGACCATCCTATAATCGATTGCAGATTAACTACTCATATTACAGATTCAGTATATATTTCTTTCAGTATCAAACTCATTGAGTTTTTCTTTCTTTAAACAGCAACACAAAGCAGAGAGGAGACAGTGAGTGACTTTCATTTCTGACTCATCACAACCATTTGACCTTATATGGATATCTGTTTAAAACTGAAAATCTGATGTCAGATAAATTAGTTCTCAGTGTTATTAACTGAGATTCAGTTATTCAGCCTATTTTGTATCTTGGGTCTTTTATCCCGTAAAAGCAATTAAAGAGTTTATGGCTTTTATAACATGAGTATATTATACAGTCAGCTCAAAAGGACTTTAATCTTTCACATATTACTGCACAAAGACATGCTGTTAAGATAGAAATTGAGATATATGGATATTGACAGATATTCAATCATGATATTCATAGGCATTACCACTGTTTAATGTCAGCAACATGAGCATTTTTATCAGACTTTCACCTCAAGTGATCATAATTGTTTAATGTTGTAATTTAACAAACACAAATGTCTATTTATAGGACTTGGACTATGAAGTAGTCATTAATTTCCAGAATGCTCGAGGAGATGAAACGATTCTGGGGAAGAGGATTGAATCTAATATATACGAGAATCCTGATTATGAAAATGTGTATGAAAATGTAAAACATGAACTTTCAAACAAACCAATGGCTCCTCCACCTCAGGTGAGCAGTTTCATAATATTTAAATCCAGCTTGTCCCATTGTAGTGTATCATATGTGTGCTTTAGCTGCATAATAAAAATAAATGCTTGCAGTAAAACAAACAGGAAGTCAGATGGTTGGTTTCTTTTATTATATGCTTGTGTAAAATCTCCATTGAGGTATCAAATCCTCCTTTTGTGCGCAGGTGAGGAAGTGAAGACACTGAAGTCTGCTGCACTGAGTCTTCCTGCGTATTGCACATTTTACACATTTTATGATATTTCTGTACTTTATTTACATATCTAGAGATCTGGCATTATAATGTTCATGTGAAGGTCCACATGGAATCACAGTAGAAAGTAAGTCAAGTAGTGCACACAGCAGAAAGCAGATATAACACCTGTTCTTTATAAAATTCCTACCATCTGTGTTAATTTATTCAATATTTTGGCTTGATTATGCTTTGTTATGAATAAGAGTGTAGTTCAGTCTTGCCTGCTTAACATACTTGACAATGATTACATTTATTCTATGGATTTTCTCCCAAACACAAGTACAGAAAATACAAGTTTACAGTATTTCAGTTTAAACTTTCATTTTGATCTCTTCTGCAAATGTCCTTGTCAAATTATGTTTTAAATTTACAGACATTAGAAGACACATCCTCATTCTTTCTTCCTTGTACTGGACAAATAAAACAAGTGATAGTGGTTAATGAAAAACAGGTTACGTTCATGACTAAATTCACCTTTAGACCTGAGCTCAATGTTACTAATGGAAATTAAATAAATGGCATTTTTTGTTCTGTTTGTAAATAGTGAGTTTTAATAATCAAACTTTTGTGTTTATTATTTATATGGGAGTTATATTATCTGTGTCACGGAACTGTGTCGATAAACACACACGAAGACGAGATGAAGACAAGCAGTCTTTAATAAATCCAAGGTGAAAACACAAAGAAAGTCCATGTGGTTGTGACAAGCTGATTGTCTAATTATATCCTTCATGATCTTTTCCAAAAAGGTGATATAACTACTGTTCTCTTATTTATAATGTATGTATTACATTTCTTTTATATGTAAAAGTTAAAATGGTTAAAGTTAAAAATGGTGTCATAACACACAACTGAATTTTGTTTTATCAAAACAAATGTACGGAGTTAAACTTTAACATCACAGACATTCTCAATATAAAATCTATCATCAAGTGTGTTATATTTTTTAAAATAGGTTAAGGTCTGGTGCTTAAGTAAAATCATTTTATTGGCCCTGTTTTGAAGTGTTGTCTGTGAAATTGATTTGTTAGTCACATTTAATTGTTTATGATTACCTTTGTATCAACCCCTTTCCTAACTCTGCCCATTTCATTTTAAAGAATTTAAATTCAAAATTCTTTAGAAAACTGCATTTTAAAGCAAATTGAACAAAATATTGAAGAAATACATAAAATCAAAACAACAGCATCAGACTGCATGTATGTAAGCACTACGGCAGTTTTGTTCAGCTTTTGTGTGTCCAGTATAAACAAAGGAGGAGCGTCATGTTACAACCATCCCTGCCTGCTCAGACAAAATTGTAACATAAATGTGAAAGGTTTGGGTAAATCTTATATATCAAATTATAATACAATACAATAGAATCCGAACAGAAACCCTCTGGATTTTCCGAGACTATTATGAGATTATTACTGTTGGCTTGTGTCTGTATAATGCAGAATCGTCCCATATTTAAGACATTAAAGTTGTGTTCTGTATTAAACCCAATTTGTCCTGTATAGGCTACACAGACTAGATTAAAGAGGCTATTAGATAAGTGTATATAAATGTGCAGGTCTCCGCAAGGTAGAGCAGCAGAGAGTTGAGTAATCTAAAAAATTTACTTTGTGAAGAATCCTGATGAGTCTGTTGATAGCATTGTGTGTATCGAGCACAGTCTTAAACAACTGTCACTTACTGTAATGCAACACAGTTCAGACAAAGCTGAATAGAAAGAACAGCTACCTACTGTACTAACAGGCAGCTATCATGCCCACATTGTCCACAATACAGTAAAACATCTACTAGTTTTCAGTTGCTGTAGAGAACATTGTTCTCAAAATCTTTGCATTTTTTCGCAAGCTCTGCAAAAAGAAGAGAAAAACTTAAAAGAATTTTGTGAGATTTGTGATGTTGATTTCCATTAGTTTTGGTGTCATGTTGTGACCAGATGGTTGTTTCTGAGCCCTGCAACCACTCACCTCGTGCAGAACTGGACTGCTCCCAAGTCCTACTTGATTAGTCTTGGTCTGTCCAAGGCACTTGAGGATTTTGCTGAACCTGAACATGAATGCAAAAGAGCTAGAGGAAGTACAAGAGGAAGGGTATGTTGAGGTTTATCTTCTCCCATTTTATTGAAGAAGTATCTTGACAAAGGTGACAAAGCATCTCTTGATATTTCATCATGGTGTCTTTCATGAACAAGTTGATTCAGAGGAGATGAAATTCTATGAATATTGACAAAACTAAAGCTCCAGTGCTCCCCCATCTGATTCAAACACTGCCAATAAGGGGTTTTCAAAGATTTTCTCAGCACTGCCATCAGGTATATCAAGAAATGGTTTGACTTATCTGAGGACAATTGGCTTTTTCACCTGCAACCTTTGTCTCTCTAGTCTGCGAAATTTCCCTTTGATGAAATGGAGAAGGGTGCAGAGACACTTAAATTCATTCACTCTTTCCTTACAGGCTTCAGAATGTGGTCGTATCTGCTAATGTTTCCTTCTCCCCTTACAAAACAAAAATATATGGAAATATACTGCAAAATATAATGCAATATATTACATTATACATTTCCATATATTAGAAACTACCCTTACTAAAAACAAATATATATGGGAAAATACTGCAAAATATAATGTGATATATTACATAATACATTTCCATATGGGAAACTATGCTTATAATTTTCAATATACTGCAATATATGCATTGACCATGCATGGCTATATATTAATACATATAAAATATCTAGAAATTAAGACAAAAATTGCATTACATGCATGTGACAAAGTCAGTTTAAAGCAGAGGTCTTCAACCCTGCTCTTGCATGCTCTGTCCTGCAAAGTTTATTTCCAACCTGCTTCAGCACACCTGCCTGTGTATTTTCAAGCAATCTTGAGTAGCTTGGTTGCTTCAGGTGTGTTTGATTAGGGTTGGAGCTGAACTTTGCAGTGGATCCCCAGGAGCAGGGTTGAAGACCTCTGGTTTAAAGGGTTCAGGAAAAGAAGGAGGCAGGGTCCGAGAGTGGCTGTGCAAACTCCAAAGTCTTTATTCACAGCTCAAATCATAAAAGAAAATAAACTCAGCACAAGGGCTTTTCAGAATCATCTCAAACTACTTGCTTTTTGAGGATTTTTTATTCAGCCTTTTTTAAACCGCATGAACGGTGTATTTCTGAATGTCAAACACTGGGAGATCATCTCATCACAACTGCAGTGCTTGCAGGGGTTTTTCAATTAAAATAAAGCCTGTGGTAAACATAACTTGACAATACTTTTACGTTTTGTTGTACAATGTAAATTACACATATCCATACCCAAAATACAAATTTTGAAGCAGTTATGTTCATTTTTGAAAACGTATGTTTTTAGTAAGTAGCTAGGTAAGAAGGTTTAGGCTGTGAGTGTGTGCAGTTTATATTGTAGAACAAAACGTAAAAGTATTGTCAAGTTATGTTTCCCACAGGCTTTATTTTATTCATAAATTGAAAAACCCCATAGGAAAATCTCAAAGGAACCCGCGGCGAATTACACTTCCTGGTTCTGACGTCATAGTTCCCCCACTCTATTTCAGATCTATTAATGCACTTAATACTTACATTTCATGTCCTGAAGAACAGTTCTCCTCACACACGTACACTGGGAGAGCATGAAGGGCTCGTTGCATGTTGACATCATGTAAACAAAAAAAATAAACATGTTAAACAAGCAGGCCAACTTTATTTTATATACAATGAAGACAGTGATGGAGGTAGTTAGTGTTTGTGAATTTGCACTCACCTGAAGATCAAACATTTAGAATGTCATGCAACATCTGTGAAATCTTGCTGGTGTGTGCCACTTTCTCTGATATGGTGAAACTCAGCACAAACCTAGAAAACCACAAACACGCACCAGTAAGTGTATAACCAACAATGGGTGTAGAAAAGAGAAAGCCGAGTCTGTGTCCTGTTATGTGAGGACACATCACACAACTTGCTCTTCAACTGAATAGAAGTTACCTTAAGTGTTGAGGCTCACTCTTTTGTATTCATCATCCAGCTCAGCCTGCAATTAAAGAAAGTTTGTAAAGGTTTACTACAAGTTTGTAGATTGCTTTTGTAAATTTAATATATTGCAAAATTCATGTCTGTGTATTAGCTTTAACCTAATTTTGGATTAATACTCTTAGCAGCTAGTTGTTTAAAAACAGACCAAATAAAAATCACATTAACCAGGGAATTTCCCAAAAAAAGCATTGTATGGCTAAAATGATCGTAGAAACATTTGCCACCAAATGGTCTCAACAATCGACTTAACGTTAGCTCACGATGCTTTTGAGAAACGCAGCCCTAAACATTGCAGTTAACAGCAGCGACATTCAAAACGTACGTTAGGACTGCGTTTACTGAAAAAATGCCGGCTAACGTTAACATTAGTGCCCTTCTTTGACGTTAACATTATACTATACGCAGTGACGCTAAAATAGCATTCAAAATGCGCATTCAAAAGCACTAGGGAAATGCCGCGCTTTACAGCGCTGTGTAAAAACAGCGTTTCCCAAAAATGAAAACATTCCTTTATCATGATATTCTGACAACACTCAAAAAGCAAATAAGAAATGTTCACAGTTGTTTTGATTTACTTACAAGTTGTTTCATTAAGTTTGCTCCGGTCGCTTGCGAGGCTCCGCCATGTTGAATGGATTCTTCTGAACGTCGGTTAGAGCAACGAGGTGACGTCACTTTACGTCACTCAGTAAACTTAAAAATAATAATTTAAATAGAAGAGTTTACTCAAAACTGTTGAGCCACACAAAAATAAAACTAAATTCCTCGTTCAGAACATGTAATTGTTATAAGTTGCATTAACGATTTAACAGACTTTAATTGCAGTGTTCTTAATCTTTATAAGTTAGTAGTACTGTTCGGGTTTACAGTGTGTTACCGTTGTGGTGAAGAATAGAGCCTGCGGATGAAGATGAGACAATGATAGATGGTGGTGTGGCACGGCTGCACTGTGACTGGACCGGAGATGGACGAAGGAGATGGAAGAGGACGAGATGAGAAAGGTGGGAAGGGGAAACAGGTAGGGACGACCAATGAAAATCAGAAGAAGAAAAGGAAGGCTAGCACACTAGGTACAAGCAGTAACTTGAATTTGAGTGGAGAGGGGAGTGATATGTGTGCATTAGAGGAACAAAGTGATGAAGAATATAAAGTAGTTATTACGTTTCGGGATGAAGGTGGAGTGGAAGGTGTAAATCTGGTTAGATTGACATTGGCATTAAAGAAAGTGATTGGTGATATAATTGCAGCAAGTGTGCTAAGAAATTAAAGTTTATTGATTACTTGTAAAGATGTGGGTCAGAGAGATTGAGCATTCAAGATGGAAAGATTGGGGCAGGTTCAGGTGGAGAATGTATTTGATCAGGGAAGGAAAAAATGGAGTAAGGGAGTGATCACAGCTATTCCAGTGTGTGTATAGCGATGTGAAGACCAATTTAAGGGTTTGGACTATATTGAGTGCACAAAGACTTCAAACAACAAGAGAGGGAATTAAGGTGGATAGTCAGTCAGTTTTGTTACAATTTGAGGGAGAGGCCCTCCCAAAGAAAGCAACATTTGGATATATGAGTTACTTTGTTAGACCTTATGTGCTTGGATTCTATAACTGTCAGCGGTGTGGACATGTAGCAGTAATGTGCAAGGAAATAAGAAGGTTTGCCAGATGTGGAGGAAATCATATGGTCAGTGTGGGGAAGGTGTATCACCTAAATGTTGTAATTGTGGAGGTGCTCATAATGTGGCTTATGGAGGATGTGCAGTGATGAAGGAAGTGGTACAAGTGCAGCAAGTGAGAATGGGACACAAGGTATCATTTGCGGAAGCAGTTAAAATGATCAGAAATCAGACAACAAGACTCAGGCAACTCATCTTATAACAATCCATTCTATTAGTATGTTGTATGCTGATAGATCTTACCGTTTTTCTGAATTGTTAAAACACATTTCATGAAACCATCACTCATTTTCTCAAAACCTTAAACACAAATCCAAACCTTCAAACTAAATTCACAGAACGCCTGTCTCTTCTGGCAAAATCAAACAATCGCTTCAAAACTATTTCACCAGTACTCAAAATCAAACAAAGCTTTCAAATCATACACACATTAGTCAATAATATACACACTACAGATCATTCATTAGACACTACATCAAAAAATGGAGAAAACAGTGTCCAGTGCATGGAGTTACAAAAAAAAAAAAGTTTTTACATGCATATAAAAAGGAATCAGAGAATTCATCTACGTCGCAGGCAGGCAATAGGAAAGAAAACCCTCTGTTGTGGCGGATCCAGCCTTGAGAAGACAGCACATTTATGTCACCACAGGCCAGTTCTTCCACCCTTATGTGGGAGTCTTGCAATTCTACACAAGATTCTTGTCCACTCTTCTTTTGCTGTTCTTTTGACCTTTCCGACTGATTATGGTGGCCACAGAGAATCTGCTCAAATTAGGTTGAACTCTTTGTCCTGCCTCTGTCATTCCATGCACAAGAACATGGTCTATCACAGTAGCTCTGATTTCATCTGAAATGACTGTTCTTGGTCTTGCTCTTCCTCGTCCTCCTCTTCCTCCACCTCGTATACGCACTGAACTTTTGCTTTCTTGTGTTTAGGGTTTTGCATCACAAGTTTATCACAGTGCAAATTGCATTTTAGTGAGTGAGAATGTGTTTAGAGTTTTGCAAAAAGAGTGCATGAGATCTGCAAACAGTGTCTAAACTGCCTGAACTAGTTTAAGGTTTCGCAGAAAGAGTGATTTATTTGACAAATGGGTTTAGGCTATTGAGAATTTGGTTCAGAGAATGGGGTTTAGTGTCTTAGCAAATGTGAAAAACTGTAAGCACAAACTAAGAAAAGAAAAACAAACCTTTAACATTTCAATAATTAAGTGAAAGCACCGGTGTTGTCCGCTGTGTTGTCTTTGGTGGGGCGGGAGCGCAGGTAGAATCGGATACTGTGGGTATTTTATTTTTTTTGGTTCGGCAGAATTTGTCCAGTCATGATGAGCCAGTCGTTAAGTGTGTTGTGTAGTGGACCGACCGAGTCATTATGTTTGCGCTCGTCTCTGACTGTCAAAGACTAGAATCTGCTCCAATCGATGGAAACAGTCTTTACGTGTGTTGAGGTCAGTCTTAGAATGTTTCAACTAGTCGTGTAGTGTGTCCCCTGCTTAAGAGTTCTGGGAAAAGGAGAAGGAAGGTGGACAGAGGAATGTAGAGAAGTAGTAAGAGATAGGAATAGGGCCTTTGGGCATTTGAGACGGACTCATAATTATCAGCATTTGATTCAATATAAAAGAGCTCAAGCATTAGTAAGAAAGACAATATTATTGCCAGGTTAAGAGAAATTATTGGCATCAGTTCTGCAGCTCAATAGGTAGAATGACACCTGTGGGGGATGATAAGGAGGATGGGTGGAGAAAGGAGGGAATGGGACTACCCTGTAATGGTGAGTGGGGAGGAGAAAGCAGTGACTGACAAGGAGAAGGCTGAGATGATGGCAAAATCTTTTGTAGCAATACATAGCTCTGATAACCTAGAGGGGGAATGGAAGAAAGGAAGGTAAAAGACATTGAGGGCATAGGAGTCTTAGAAAAAAGAGAGGAAGTGGATGATACATTCAGAGTGCTCCATTTTCTAAGGCAGAGATGGAGAGAGCGATTAAAAGGGCAGGGGTGACATCACCAGAAATGTGTTATACCATGTTGACTTTTATGGGTGAGATAGCATTAGGAAGATTGCTTAGATTATATGATAGAGTTTGGGAGGAAGGATAGCTTCCAAAAAGTTGGAAGGAAGGAGTTGTAGTCCCCATTAGGAAACCAGGAAAAGATACAAAACCTACTAGTTATAGACCAATTGCATTAACATCCCATATAGGTAAAATTATTGAACATACTGTATTTATGTTAAATACATTTTTGTTCTGCAAGGGTCTGTCAAGTTGGAAGTTGCAAGTCCCACCACTCAGGCCAGAGAATCAGAATGCAGTGTATCTGTTGAAGGGGATCAGAGGGAGCTTGGCACCAGTGGTCTTCTCCTTGCCCTCTAACAGGTGTCTGGTCATTGTCTTAGCATTTTTATCTGTTGGCATTGGACATTTGTTTGAGTTAGTCCACCAAGATCCAATCAAAATGTAGCAAACCTTTCTTCACTGTTGCAGACAGAGAGGGGCCCCACCATAAAACTGGCCCCTGGAATGTACTGTTCACAACACGAGTCTACAATTAATCAGTTGCTGTTTATAAAAAATATGTACAGCTTATTGAAGTCTTTTCATTACATATTACATGACAGTTGTATGTTAAAATGATAAAGTACTTTAAAAATAAAAATGACTACATGCACTTGAACTTGAACAACATCAACAAAAACTGCTAGTCCACAATTTGCTGAGATGGTTTGTGTGTGATGTGTGTTATATTTTATGACATAAAAAATATTTTCAGAATTAAACCGCACATAAATAAGTAAAGCAAAACAAAACAAATGTGTTTATGTCTGAGATTGATTTCAGGAATTTTTTCAGTCAGCAACAAAAATATTTTTATAGACATACTTAACTGCAGAGACTGAAATGACATGCACTATGTGGTACAGAACATATATTTTGAGTGTCCCTTACACAGTCCCTTATTTTTAATGAAGAACCAGTATTGTCCCTTATTTTACTTTGCTGAAGTTGGCAACCCTAATTATTTGTTAGGGGAAACATTTAGGTAACATTACACTCTTAAAAACAAAGGTGTTTCACGATGCCATAGAAGAACCTTTTTGTCTAAATGGTTCCATAAAGAACCTTTAACATCAGAAGAACCTTTCTGTTTCACAAAAAGGTTCTTTGTGGTGAAAGGAGGTTCTTCAGATTATAAAAAGGTAAGAACGATATGGTTCTTTAAAGAACCTTTGACTGAATGGTTCTTCTATGGCATCGCTGTGAAGAACCTTTCAAGCACCTTTATTTTTAAGAGTGTACTGCACCAAAAATATCAGTAATATGAAATAATTTCTTTGATTTAAAAATAGTCTCTTAATTTAGATATTACGTAAGGCTTGTGCTAACTTCCAGCGCTAGGTGGCGCAGTGAATACTCTGCTATCTATAACTGCTGTTTATCATTAACCGAGAACTGTATGTAGATACTATTTCAGATGAGTTGAGCTGCAGCTTGTGACGGTTGATGTGCAGTCATGATGGTTTCTCATGGCTTATATGGGACCCTGTGGATGTTGTCGTGTTTTGGTGAGCCTCTTTCTATCAATTAAATAATGTTTTGTGTTTTACATTCCCATACGGAAATATAATATACAGTATGACATATATTGCCTTAAAGAGTGATATTGCCATATATGTTACATATTATATAAGGTGATATATAATATTCACATACGCACGTCACCTTCAACACCTTCAAACAACATGTATACAAATGTTTTGTATGTTTATAGGCTATTTGTTTCTGTTTTTATAAAATATTTTTTTAAACGCATGTCTATCTTTTATATTTACTTATATAATATGAACATTTATTGACGGGTTTTAGGATGGATATATTTGCATATGAGTTCATTAATAGTTTGGTATTATTTTCACAAGCAAGTGGTAAATTAGTACAAAACTCTACAACTAAATGATAGACGTGATATGCAATCATCACAGTGGACAATAGGCCTACATTACCCAACCAAATTTACAAAATCCATAATATATAAAATGTCTATACAGTAGGATGCATCAAAAAACCCAAAATTTTGAAAAGTTTTGAAATATGTTTCGGCCCTATGTCTAATTCATGCCATATCCAGTAATAAACATTCTGGCCAAATTTCATATTTTATATTGTATATTTACTGGGTTAACCACACCCGAGAAATTAAAACACAATTATACAGCTTAGCATTTGCAATTCAATATTTCAGCCGTTTTTGCTGCAGCACCCTGGGAGCAACTGGGGGGTTCGGTGCCCCGCTCATTTCTTTTATTTATTTTTTTACTTTTCTTTACTTATCTACCCACTGTCACAGCCATTTTGTTGTGACTGTCTGTGCAGAGTGTGGCATCGAGCTGAGTATGTGGGTATTGTGGGTGGAAAAGTGCATTGAGTTGAGGCAGTGGCGGTTCTACATTTAATTACACCCTGGGCGAGACCCCCTTCGAGCGCCACCCCCCCACCCCCCCCAAAATTCTGCACAAACAGTTATATTTTATTATAACAACATAAGTGAAAGAGAAAATTATATTTCTCAATTGCACAAATCCTTCATTAGAACATTTGAATGAGGATCACAGTATGAGGATCGTGTGAACTCACAATGATTTCACCTATTACTCACACCTTGAGGATCACAGTATGAGGATCGTGTGAACTCACAATGATTTCACCTATTACTCACACCTTGAGGATCACAGTATGAGGATCGTGTGATGTCACTGTGATCATCGCATGATCTCACATGTTGACTGGGTGGTGACCACATAATCGTTTTGTATTACCTTTTTTTTATTAGCCATTTCACACAATTCAGAAAAACAAAAATGTGCAGGAACTATAGGCCTGTATTTATAATATTATGAATGAAATGTGCGTTATTTGGAAGAAAGTCGAGGTGTGACCCCCCCCCCGTTCCATTTGGGAGCGACCCAGAGGTGAACTGTCCACCGCGCCCCGCTCCCCGCTCCCCTTCTCACACAGCTTCTGTGCACGGCACCTTCTCAGCAAGCAGGGGCGCCAATTTGCCAATTCCCCACACAGTGAAATGATAGATAATAGAAAACCGCTTCGCGGCGGCGGCGCAGAGGATTTTCTTTTTTTTTTTTTTTAACTGCTCGTGCCGCCCCCCATGTATCATGAAAAAATTCCGCCCAGGGCGACTGCCCGGCTCGCCCGTGCCAAAAACCGCTACTGAGTTGTGGCTATTGAGTGTGGAAGAGAGCGCTGTTCATTCTCTCCTCTCACCTACATTTCCTGCCGGTACTGAGAATTGATCCCACATCCTTCAGATTATAAATCCAACATTCTAACCATTAGGTCACATGCCATGTGCCCTAATGTACATGAATCAAGTGCTCTTGTTTGCAACATTCTTCTTCCTTAGGTTATGCCTCAGCTTCCAGTCTGCCTCAACCACCTAGAGAGTGTTCTGATAATGCTGCTTTAAACTGGCTGCATCAAATCAGCTCTCAGCTTGACACCACGCTCTGCACAGTCATTCATGACAAAATAGTGGTGGTGGGTAGTTGTGGCTCGCAGGTTCACTTCTCAGTGGCAGGAATTGTAGGTGGGAGGAGTGAATGAACAGCACTCTCTTCCACTCTCAATACCCAATTGATCCCAGGCGCCGCAGATAAAATGGCTGCCCACTGCTCCGTGTCTGTTCACTACTCACTGCTGTGTGTGTGCACTTGGATGGATTAAATGCAGAGGACAAATTCCAAGTATGGGTTACCATACTTGGCCTACATGTCACTTTGTAAAATAGCAAAGTAAAGAAAATAAATAAATAAAAAATGATCGAACAGAATCAGAATCAGAAAGAGCTTTATTGCCAAGTATGTTTGCACATACAAGGAATTTGTTATAGTGTCACAAGCTTCCAGTACACGGAGACAACAACAACACACAGATAATAAAAATAAGATGTGAATAAAATACACATGCATAAATATAAACCACAAAAAAATTATAAATTGTATGTACAGGTGTGCTATAGATAGAATAGGAATAGAATAAAATAAAATAAAATAAAGTTGTAGGGATGTACTAGGATTTAGGGTGATAAATAAGTATAAGATTATTGCACGTACTTTAATTGCACAATGGGAGAACATTAACTGTTCATGAGGTAGATTGCCTGGGGAAAGAAACTGTTCTTGTGCCTGGCTGTCCTGGTATTCGGTGCTCTGTAACGCCGACCAGATGGCAAAAGTTCAAAAAGGAGATGGCTTGGATGTGATGGATCCAGAGTGATTTTCTGAGCCTTTTCCTCACTCTGGATGAATACAGTTCTTGGAGCAGGCCCGGATTGGCTAATCGGGAACACCGGGAGGATTCCCGGTGGGCCGGTCTGTAGACTATATCAATAACAAATTCTCAATTGATAATTAATCATTCTTTTTGCGCAAATCATTGTTTTATTTGTGAAGAAACCGTTTAAGGAAGGCTTTAAGACCAAGCGGAATCCTCTGCCGATGCTCCCGCTTCACAGCGAGCGGGTCTCGCGCTGACGGCCGTTCCCTTCACCGTCCGAGTTTTGATTTTGCCAAATCGGTTTGGGCAACATTCAATCTACCTGAGGGAAGACGTCTTTCATTGTAAGTTAATGCTGTTAAATAGAGAGAGAAAAAAATACATTTAAAAAAAAAAAAAACTTCTAACGTATTCTTAAACGTGGACCTCATTATTGAAGTACAAATCCAAGCACCATAAGCAGCCCACACTCTCTAAGTTTTCTTTAATTGAAAAATATGCATTTTCATTCATCCAAAGGCTATATGGTTGCAATGATATTTTAGTTTAAAACTTTAAGTGCCATTGTTAAAAATGCTTTATTGACTGACGTACGTTTCATCAGTTGTTAGCTTTCAAATTTCATGCCATTTGTAATTTCACAGTATTTTCACCTCCTAAATTATATACACTTGTGATTTGTGAAGTCACAATTCTATATTGGTACAATTTACTCAGGCCGATTACATTTTTTGTATGACATTAAAATTATTTTTATAATAATTGTACACAAATTAAGCAAAACCATTGTGATTATTTCTGAGAACTTTTTACCTGCATGCAGACAGCCTACATTATGGTACAGTACAAATATTTGGAGCGTCCCTTATTCTGTCCCTTATTTTGTCCCTTATTTTCTTAAAGAATAAACACTTACTTTCTACAAGAACAAACACTATTTTATTAAAGAATAAAAGATAAAGAATCACAATTGTCCCTTTTTTTCCATTTCTGAAGTTAATTGGCAACCCTAATGATGACGTAATTATCTTATAACCCCTGACAGCGGCACCTTGCTCAAAAAAAAAAAAAACAAGTCAGTTGTTGGAGATATGCAAGCAAAACAATTATAGATCAAAGAAAATGCATAATAGAAAGCGCAAAAGGTGGCACTGAAAAGGCCAGTACAAAAAAAAACAACAAAAATAGGTGGGCCGGTCTAAGGCATGACACTCCAGGGGTGAAAATGAGTCCCACTCCGGCCCTGTCTTGGAGGGTAGGCAGGGGGGCACCAATAATCCTTTCAGCAGTCCGAACCGTTCTCTGTAGTCTTCTGATGTCTGATTTTGTAGCTGAACCAAACCAGACAGTTATTGAAGTGCACAGA